CATATCATACTAGGAGGAGGATTTAGGATCTGAGTAAAAGTGGAATTCTTAATTAAATCATTAAAGCTTCACCTCTCACCTAAATTTTCTCTTGGTATCACTGGTTGTTGTCCACTTTCTGGTCTGTCAGGTGAATATAGTTACTCAGTAGCAATACTTGCTAAAAGCACAAATAATCTCATACAAAAACTTCAAATTTCAAGTGATCATTTAATTATCTTTAAATACACTGATTTTAATATTTGGGAAGTGCTAACAGTTACCTATTTGAGGAAGAGACCACCATCTCCTCAAATAATAACCCACTAACATGCAGAATAACAACTGAATGAGTTCATCAAAGAACTCAAAATTCAGGTAGAACATCATTGTTAGGGCACCTCTTATATACAGAATAGACTTGGGTCTTGCTTTGTGAGTTGAACACCTTTTTCTTTTAATAAGTGAATTAAATCATCTACACTTATGAATATTACTAAGAATTTGATTTCAACTCTTATCATACGGTATTATAATTACCATGTATGCTATGTTAAATGTACTGTTTATTCTCTTAATGATGCATTCTATTTGCATATTTATTTATTTTTTGTTTGTTTATTTATCTTTGAGTCAGAGTCTCACACTGCTGTCCAGAATGGAGTGCAGTGGCAAGTGCACTGCCACCCCAACCTCAGGTTGAGCTCAGGCGATCCTTCCAACTCGGCCTTCCAAGTAGCTGGAACCACAGACACACCACCACATCTGGCTAACTTTTGTTTTTTTTTAATTATTGTAGAGACTAGGCCCTGCCAAATTGCCCAGGTTGGTCTTGAACCCCTGGACTCAGGCAATCCTCCTTCCTCAGCCTCCCAGGGTACTGGGATTACAGGCCTGCACATTTATTTTTTAATTTTAATCTTAATTTTTTGCTTATCCTCACTTGGTCGTTTGGCATACACTTATATTTTTAATAAGATTTTCTTGGCACTTAGGAAGTTGTTCTGTTGGCTATTTTTATATTTATACCCCGTTAATACTGTTAATTGCCTGTTTTATTCATTAATAATTTGGTTTGTCATTTTGCATGGTATTTGATTTACAGCAGTCAGTAAACTCCTTCTATCTCCTTTTCCTCTCTTCTTTCATTTTTAGTGGCTTTTTTTTTTGCATTGTCAGAACATGTAACATTTACATGTAATTATTCTACACTTTTTTCTGCCTTAAAATTATATTAAATTTTCACCACTGGTCCTTTGGCAGAAGTTTTCTCAGAAGTCTCTTGATAGGATGAAGTTTATCTGCTAGTAGATTCCTCAAGAAGGTCTTGTGAGTATTATGTTCTTTAAACTATGCATTAACTTTTTTTTTTCTGCCTTATAGTCTTTATACTTGAAGGACAGCTTGTATGATACATAATCCTTGGTTTACAGTTCTTTGACTCTTGAGCTCTTTACAATTTAGTTTTAAATTTTGTGACCATTATTTTCTTTTCTTTCATTAAAATTGGGTGGTGCTGAAACATGAACACACAGGTATTCCAGAAGAACAGTATAGGTTTATAGGAGGAGCACAGAGAAATTTAATGCTAAAGGCAGCATCTCTAGCCATTATGGCAAAGACTCATGTTTTAATAAAAGGTGCTAGGAAAACTGAATGGTCATTTGGAGAACATAAAAGCAGACACATACCTTACATCATATACAAAAATCAACTCTAAACAGGCCAAGTACCTAACTGTAAAAAATGAAACTACACAAGTACTGAAAAAAAAATGGGTGAACGCAAATGTAACTTAGGAAGAAGGAAAGCTTTCTAATAATTACTCAAAATCCAGATTTTAAAAATTTGGTAAATTAGTCTACAAAAAAATTGTATCATGTGAAAAACACCATAAGCAAAGACAAAAGGTAATAACAAACTGGGAGAAAATATTTGCACTATATATCACATATATATCCCTAATATATAAAGAATTCTTAAAAATTAAATGGGCAAAAACATAAACAAATAATTCAGAAAAAATAAAGATATGAAAATGACCTTTAAAAATATCTGGCCAGGTGCAGTGGCTCACACCTATAATTCCAGCACTTGGAGAGGCAAGAGAATTGCTTGAGCTCAGAAGATCAGCCTACATAGTGAGACCTCATCTATACCAAAAAAAAAAAAAAAAAAAGCCAGCCAGGTGTGATGGCGTGTGCCTGTAGTCTCAGCTACTAAGGAGACTGAAGAAGTAGGAGCACCTGAACCCAGGAGGTCAAGGCTGCACTGACCTGTGATTGTGCCACCACACGCCAGCCTGGGCAACAGAGTGAGGCCCCAACTCAAAATAAACAAACAAACAAACAACAAGGTAGAATACAAACAGAAACAAATGATTCAGAGTACTTTATGGAAATACTTGACGAAAAATACGAGAGCGCCTCGGCTAGGTAGGGGGGCCGAACTCTGGTGGGAGGGGAGGTCCGGTGGCTTGGGCGGGGAAGGTGGTTGGAGTGCTGGGAGTTGCGCGGTTGTCTTCTCCTGCGGGAAGTCGGAAACACGACGCTGATCACGCGGGAAGGGAAAGGGGCAGCCGGGTGCAGGCGGGAGGGAGGCCCGCCCTGCGGCAACCGGAGAAGGAGAGCGAAGGGAACAGAAAGAGCTCAAAACTGGACAGAGCCATGGCTCATGAAGAGGGAGAGGCGCTCCCGGCTCGTCTCTGATTGGCTGCTTCTCCTCCCGCCGTGTGTGAAAACACAAATGGCGTATTTTGGTTGGAGTACAGCGCCTGTCAATTCCAGCCTCGGGAGTGTGCAGCCGCTTAGCGTTGCCCCCCTGGGGGGGCGGGGGAGCGGGGCATGAAGGGGAGGGAGAAAGAAAAATACACAACCACTCTGAAAGAAACTTGAACACAATACTCTGACTACATACCCTCAGTCTACAGAGAACTGCAAACACTGAGCTCTAGATAAAAGGTTTGCTTTCTGTATGCGATGGTTCCACAACTCTGAAACTACTTCCTGCACATGACAGGGTAGAAGAAAAGTAAACACACTGAGGATAAGAGGGGCTCACAATCTCACTGTTAAAGAAGTACAAATACGGAAAGGGGAGACGAGAATGAACCCTGAGGTGCTAAGCTGAAATGAAATGGGGAATATCAGTGTGCTGAGGTTTTTAATTTACATATGATAACGGAGGGTACATAAAACCACAGTCTGCATGCCATCTCATTGCTCCCTCATTCTAGGTGCAGTCCCTTGCAATATCCAAGATAACTAATGAGACCAAAACATTCCCATTTTTCTAAACTTTATTGTTTTAAAAGAAAGAGTGCTGAGAGCCGCCAAGGTCAGTCATTCTCAGACAGGCCTGATACTGATCCTTCCTCACATTATAAAATCACTAGATTCCTGTAAAGGGTATAATGACCCCCAGGTAGATGGCACCATTCTTCCTAACCTTTGTATCCCCAATAATAGCACCATGCTTGGTGAAAAGTAGCACATCAACAATGTTTTTTTCCTTGTGAAATGACAGAATAATGCCCCCTAAACACTCAGACTGACACTTTGCTTCAAGTTTCTTGAGGCTTGCAGACAAGCACTGAACTCAGCAGCTGGATGGCTTGCCTCCACATACCAACAATCTAAGCCTAGATTATGTTCTAGTATAAAATACAAAATTATGAATAAAAGAGGACACTCTGGGTCTGGGGACAGTAGAGCAGTAAACAAAAACTATGCAACTGGAAAAGCTTCCAGTGACAGCAAAACGGTTCTCTAAAGGAACAAAAAGTACTGAATCTCCAAGGGCTTGGCACTGGCCTGGAACATATGAGCACTGAAATCTGTTGGTTGAAAGAGATGCAGCCATAACACCTCTAAGCACACAGAGCATCCAGAAAGCCTCAGGCGATTCGTCAAATTTCACTGGTGCTCAACAACAAAAAAAATACATTAACTACCACTTGATATCCTGAGAAACAACGAAAATCGCCTGTGTGTAGGAATCTCCATCTTTAGCTCTATTAGTAAATTATAATTCACATAACTGAAAATATATATATTATTACCCTCTAGAGAAGAACCAATGCTATAAGTGAAATCTTACCAAAAAAAAAAAAAAAAAGGTTGCTATTGTGAGGTATACAAAAACATGAAGTCACCAAACGTATTAAGCAAAGAATATACCTACCTGCAACATATCATCAACCATAGTTAGTATATACTGAACAGTCTGTTCTTTGGAGATATGAGTCATCAGGTTTATAAATGTTTTAGCACACTAAAAAAAATGAGATTAACATTAAATTATTGTTTTCATTTGTAAACAACACTTTAATGGAACGTCAGTAAAACATTATTTCTCTTTCATAAATTAGAATACAAATTCCATTAACTAACAAATTTTAATTATAGAAAATGTATACCTTCTACAAATATTGCTATGACGAAGTTTGGGAGGACATTACTATGATTTGCCTCAGATTTTTGCTCATTTCTTGCAATAAGTTTCAGAACATTTACTATTTTTAAACAGATATACCTAGCCACTATTAACGCTTGATCACTCATGACAACAGAAAGTTACGCTGGCAGTAAAAATTATAATTGGTTTAGAATATTTTATTTCATTTTTTGTGCTTAAAGGGAAGTAGAGTGCCAGAGACCGGAATCAGAAGGCCCTGAGCTACCTCTATTCCACAACACATCAACTGAAAATCTCTCTGGAACTCAATAAAAACTGGAGTCAACAATATGTTCCCTACCAACTTTCCCAGGACCATTATGAGAACAGGACCAAGCTGCATATGGGTTCTATCAGCCAACCAGTGCCCTACATCAGAAAATCTGAAAAACAGTAGACTTGCACCTCATAATAGGGTCAAGTTCTAAATAAATAAATCAAACAGGGCACAATCAAAATTATTCTACAAAATCCCTTAAATTGCCAAAAGAAAAAAACATGGCTTTATGTATGAAACACCATTCAGTAACAGATTTGGAGTCATACTCTGAAAAACTATCTCACCTTAGGGACATATAAATCAAAGTATATTTTATTCAGTACTCATTCATTCATTCAATAGATCCTCAATGGAACAAACAGCATGTAAAAAGGCCATGCTACAGAAAAATGTATACCTTATCAAAATCATCCTCCCAAATTTATGCTTATCTATGGGTCATGGTTTCCATGGATAGATAGCCTAGTCACCATACTGAATATTGAAATTTAAAAGGTTACAAAATTAGTATTTACAAATACATTCACATCATTTAAAAGTTAAAAGTAATAAATAACTGAATCAAAACATTAAAGTGGAAACACTGTAACCTCTTTTAGCAAAAATACCAGGGGTGCCACAAAAATGTATACACATTTTAAGAAACGTTATCTATAACTTTTTGAAGTAGAACTGAATTATAGTAACAATGTGTAGTATGATATTCGCTCAAAAGATGGTGTTTATCAAATGAATGCTAGCATCACCGTGTGAAAGGCAGGACAGTGGAAAATGGCAAAAGCACAGTTGCCATTTGAGGAGCACAAGATCATTTTGAAGTAGTATTTGATATTCAAGAACGTTGTAGAAGAAAATGACAATGGAGGCATGAGTACGCAACAGAACCTCCAACGCACCTAACAATTGGATGCATTTTGAGACGCATGGTATTGTGTGTGATGAGCACAAGGGAAGATCTGGGAGGCCTCAAACAGCAATAAATCCTATAGCAGTTCACCATAATCAGAAGTCTGACTGCTGATGGTAACCACCCTGAGTACCTCTTGTAATTGCAGAAGTCAAACATGACTTGTATTCACCTTTTGTTATCAGTATATATTGAGTATTACAATACAGTTTTTTCCTTTCTTTTTTTTTTGAGTTGGAGTCTCACTCTGTCGCCCAGACTGGGGTGCAGTGGCCGCTCCCGGCCACCACAGCCTCCACCTGCTGGACTCCGGCGATCCTTCCGCCTCAGCCTTCTGAGTAACTGGAACTACAGGCGTGCACTACCACGCCCGGCTGATTTTTTGATTTATTGTAGAGATGAGGTCTTACCAAGTTGCCCAGGTGGGTCTCAAACCCGCGGGCTCAGGCAATTCACTCACTTCAGCCTCCCAAGGCGCGGGATTACAGCCTGAGCCACCGAGCCCGGCTAGTTTTTTCCTTTCTTAAAATAAGTATTATATATATATAATATAATATATATAATATATAATATAATGGCAGTGTATTATATTATATATAATATAATATATATTATATTATATATTATATATATTATATAGGCACCCTCTGTATATAAATTGCCTGTGGCATTTTGTCATCTCTTCTTTTCAGATATACTGCCATTTTGTTTGGATGAAACCAGACACTTATTTCCTGACAACCACCCCAAAAAAGGCCCATCACAATAGACGCTGCAATTAAGAAAAAATTGCTTTAACTCCTTCAGGGAAGAGTCCTGTCTTATTAACAACATATCCCCAGTCTCACCATGCACATGACAGGGACTCAGCATGCACGTGTTGAGTAAATACTGGACGAGATATACTTCACAATGTATATGCAGTTGGGGTGGGGAAGCTTTTTCAAAGGATGAAAACAAAAGCAGATATCACAAAGGAAAGAAGAACCTAGATCTGACTGCAGTAAACTTCAATAGGCAAAGGGTCCCATAAATCAAGCTAAAAATTCAGCAAACAAGCTACAGAAATATAGCATACACTGAGCTGGTATACTTAACACATAAAGGAACCTGACAAATCAGTAAGAATCATGTAAATACTTCCATGGAAAAGTAGATAAGGAATATAGAGCCATGCATCACTCAACAACAGGGATTTTTCACCTATCAGTACGATGAAAGCCAAAGGGCTAGACCCAGAGTAGGTGCTGGAGCAGGAGAATGGGTACTATTAAATATTGCTGGCAGGCATTGCAAACTGGCACAACCTATCAAGAAGGCATTTTCATAATATATATCAAAATCCTCATAACGTTTGGGTCAATAATTACACTTCTAGAATTTATTACAAGAAATAATTAAGAATGTTCATCTCAAAACTTCTTATGACAGAGAAAAAAAATAGAAGTAACCAAAATGCGCCACAGTAGGGAACTGGTTTAGAACATTATGGTTCATCCATTAAAAATATCTGGATCCAGTGCTGTATCCACACCTGTAATCCCAGTACTTTGGCAGGTCAAGGTGGGAGGACTGGTTGAGTCCACGAGTTCAAAACCAGCCTAAGCAACATATCAAGACCTTGTCTCTACAAAAAAAAAATTAAAAATTAGCCAGGTGTGGAGGCACACACCTGTAGTTCCAGCCTTTTGGGAAGCTGAGGCAGAAGGATCTCCTGAGTCCAGGAGGTTGAGGCTGTGATGAGCCATGATTGTGCCACTGCAGTCCAGCCTGTGCAACAGAGACACTGACTCAAACAAAAAAAAAAGGTTATGTTTGTAGTAATAAGTGTGTAAGCTATATTAAGCCTAGAAAAATGTCTAGAAAGGTATACATTAAAGTGTTAACACAAGTCATCTTGAACAGAGGAATATAAGATAGAATAACTCTTGTTTTTTTCTTTACTTAATAGTATTTTCTTATTTTACTATAACAAATGTATCACAAAAGGTAAACATCAACCTGTGTAACTACATAAACATTTTAAACTAGTGTATATGAAAACAAACTCCAAAACAATTCTAAGGTAAACAGCAAATAAGGAAAACATTTGCTACAAACGTTACTAGATTTCGTATGCAAAAAGACTGTATAAACTAAACAAAAAGTACCAAAACCTTATAGATTAAAATTAAAAAGATGCTTTCCAAAAATTTAAAAGATACAGATACAGATTTTTTTCAATGAGAAAAAAAATGTAATCCCATGTTATCAAAGTAATAAGATGTTCCTTTTAACCCAGTAAATTCAAATATTTTTAATTATATTAGGCATTTCAAAGATTACGAGTAAGAATACAAAATAGAAAAAATTTTCATCCAGGCACGGTGGCTCATGCCTGTTGGCAGGCTGAGGTGGGAGAATCGTTTAAGGCCAGGAGTTTGATACGAACCCAGGCAACATAGTGAAACCCTGTCTCTACAAATAATTTTTTAAAAGAAAAAAAAGTTAAGCAACTTTTAAAATTTCATATACTTTGAAACAATAATTTCACTTCTAGAAGTCTATCCTAAGAAAATATTCAGAAATGCAGAAAAGGATGGAGATATAAATGCACTCAATATAACATTTTTCCCAAAATTAGCAAAGAAAACTGGAAATCACTTAAATATCTTCCGGTAAATGGATTTTTAGTTAAATTATGCTGAATATCTACAACAGAATATCATTCAATATCTAAGATTGTTCTAGAATTTTTAATAACATAGGAAACTATTCATGATACAATGTTATATTAATGACCTGGCTGCCTTCTGTTTGAAGCATCTCTTGTTTCTCTTCAGGACTTCTTTTCATTTCGAACCTTTGAATAAATTCACAGTCTTCAGCAGAAATCATCTGTCCCCTAGAAAGAAAGAATAAATTGTTTTGCTCAATGGGCGTTCCACAGACACTATAAGTGACAGAAGAATTCCCTTTCTCCTTGACAGTAAGCACAAGGGCTGAGCATCAGGTAGACCTGGTTCAAAGCTTAGCTCAGCCACTTATTAATAGGATGAAATCTCTGGACCCTGAGTTAATTTATCTGCAGAATGGGAATGATAATCACATTGCCTTTAAGGGGCTATACTGAGGGTGAAATTAAATAACTCACATAAGGTGGTTAGCACAGCACTAGCCCATAGTAAGCACTCAATAAATTACCAAAAGTCTCACCCTTATGCCCCTTCCCAGGACAAGCTATTTACTTGGCCACCTAATTTATCAAGTTCAAAGCCTCTTTATATGAACTTCTACAATCACTTTCGATGGCATACTCTTTCTCTCCAAATTTTTTTTTTTAAAGGGTGATTTTCCTCCTCAGTGAAATCTTGTTTTCCTCTACCCCTTATAGGGGTCCCTTCACCACTGGCTCTTCATTCTTCAAGGCTTCTCCCAGCACTCAATCCTTGAAATCTTGCTTTTCTTTCCCAAACTCCCCTGTGAGAGATTCAAATCAAGAGTCCCACCTTCCCTCCCTCCCAATCATCCCCAACTGCCTTGTTCCTCCACTGAGATGTCAGCATTTTCACAAATTCGGCATCATTACTGCTGGCATCTTCCCTCCCAAACTGAACTTGGCCTCCCACTTGTCAAAGACTTGAACACGCCACCGCAAAACCCCCATCTCATCTCTATAAATGCAGAGCCTTCCTTGTTAAAAAGTGCATCTGCAGATGAGCCCTGCTAGTCGCTATAAGCTTCTGGGCCTTCAGGATTCATTCAAGACAATTCTTTCAGGCCATCAGTATGGTAGGAAAAGCAGAGCATTTGAGTCTACCTGTGAAGGGTTCCAGTTCCAGGTGTGAAACGTTGTCAAGTCACTACCCGTCTGACCAGTATTTTCCCCCCCAGTAAAATGGCAGTTACAATACCATCTGCCCTAGTCCACTAGGTGGTTATGCAAATTAATGAGCAAATATTTTTAAAAGCACATGATGTATACAAAATGGGTAAAGGAAATGTAAAATAAAACTTCCGGTAATATACTTTAGTGTGTGTGTGTGTGTGTGTGTGTGTGTGTGTGTGTGAGTGTGTGAGTGAGAGTGTGTGTGTGTGTGTATGTGTGTGTGTGTGGCTTAAGCAATCCTTCTCTTTCAGCCTCCTGAGTAGCTGGGACTACAGGAGTGTACCACCATGCCCGCTTTTATTTTTTTTCGGTTTTTTTATTTTTTTAACTCTGCAGTTTAAAAACCTGTCCCTCCTTCCTCAGCCCCAACCATGTTGAGGGATTGGTGTTCCACAGAGCCCAATCAGAGAAATATTTAGTGAAGCAGGTTTCCCAATATGCATAATTACAGACAGGTGACACTTTTTCAAAGCTGTCTTGGATCAGGTTCCCAGAGGCGGGCCCTGAGAGGAGTATTTATAAATAAGTACTCCCAGGAGAGGACAGGGATAGGATGAGGGGCACAGCACACTGGAGGAAAAGAGCCCAGTCAGGGCTAAGGCAAAACCACAGAGAGCGGTTTCTCCTGTGCCCATAGGAAAGTGATGTACTCAGAGTGGTCTCCTCCACAAGATAAGGGGCACTGAACTTGCATACTCCTGCTACTCTTACCTATAACCCCACCTTCTTCCAAAAGAGATCTTGATTTTAATGTATTCAAAATCGATCCGTGTTTTACTCTGTCCCTTCCACGTTTTGTATACACTACTACCACATTTCAAATTTGCTTCTGGACTTTGTAATCCACCACTTGTAACAGTCCATGCTGTCTTAAGCGCCATAACTTTTTCATCCATGCTCATTTATTAACATCTTAAACTATTCTATTTATTTTGCAACAATTCCTTAATTACCAACCAAAGGACAGTTTCCAGTCCTTATCTTTCTAGATCTCTCTGAAGCAGGTGACACTGGGACTACTTCCTGACATTCTCCTCCTTAGCTTCCAGATTCTTCTCACATCCCTCAAGCCAGCCCTTTCCACTGACACCTGTACCTCTGCTTCTGTGCGAGGCTCCCTTTTATTTCTCACTCCACAGGGTCTCCCAAAATGCTCCCTTCCACCCTCACATCTGAACTCGGGCCCTAGATCCCACAGTTCCAACTCCTATCTCCTCCCACAGATGGCAGAGGCATTTCAGACCCTACAGGGACAGAACTGAGATCACTAATCCCACAGGCTGGTTAACAAGAAGTCTGGTCAGTTTCCACTCTGGCTAACCACTTCACACACCAGTCAGGAAAAGACAGTCTGCACTCTGATATAGAATAAGATACATGGTCATCCTGCCTGGGTCTAGCCACAAAATAAATGAATGTTGAGCATTCCCTTAAACCTGAACTTCATAGCTAAAACTACTTTACCCACAAATCTGCTATGCTGATGTGGAAAGGCATGTCATAAACCTTGTGAATAGGATAATCACATCCCAAAAGTTGCAGTTTTTCTATCATGAAGAAGGTATATCATGAAGGTAACACTTGGTAACCTTATAATTTTGCAGATTTATTTTCCATTTACATAACTTTGTTTGTTATTTGGCAAGTCATTCCTTCTGAAATCTTTCTTGCATTTGTTGCAGATAACCTTTTCCTTTCCTTGTTTAAATTCCTTTCTGAGTCTTCCTCTGATAGTCTCATAATTTAGCTGGTTTGGGGCTCTAGCGTCTTCTCTACTGACCCACTAACAATCAGGCACCAGTTCTAACAATTCTTCCACCTATTACTGCCTCTGGAGTAGCTCAGTCCTAAGGCAACAGTTCACCTATGAGGTCTCCCTGCTTCCAATCCAACGTTCCTTCAAACCATCTTCTTACCTATTAATAGACAGCTTTCTCAAGCACATATCTGATCATATTATTCTTTTTGGACTGTGAGTTCTATCCAGTACCTAGGTAGAGGCATTCAGTAAAAAATCTTTTAAACCAACTGACTAATCAAAACCTATAAGCATACATATGTTACTTAACCTATCTGAAGTTATCTACTCATCTTTAAAAAAAGAATAGGATAGAAAAACCTATGTAGCAGTATTTCTATAAAAATAATGTTAAATAGTATGGTAATTACCAAGTATGTTACTTCCTTTTCCGAATACTCATCTCCACCACTTCTCAACAAGTATAATACACTTCTCATAATTTAATCAACTGATATGACAGCCTACTATGTGCCAGGCACCTTCAAGAACAAGTAACACAGAAATGAATCAGACATCCCTCTTTGAGCTTGCATTCCAGCGGGGAAAACAGAAAATAAACAAATACAAAAATAGATAATTTTTAAACACACACACACACACACACACACACACACACACACACACACACATACACACACATATTGAGCGGAGGGGTTTTATGAAAGAAATTTGTAAGATGGACAGCAAAGGACGGACACAGGAAAAAGGGAGAATATGACACATGTGGTAAGCCATGGGACAGGAGGAACAGAAGGGAAAGTAATTTTGAAACTCCATGTAACTAGAAATGTTCCAAATGCCAAAGGGAGGGAAAGTTCTGCCAGTCTGCTGATGCTTTATCATCACAATGTTAAGGCTATAAATGCTATGAAAAAAAATGAGGCCAAGTAGGGGGCTAGAAAGTGACAGGAGCAACAGAAGGAGGTGTGCAAGGTGGGGAGCAGTAGAGGTAGAGAGGGGAGGTCAGACTTGGGGTAAGTGTTGGATACAGAGCTAAAGAATTTGTTAATGGGCTGGACATGAGCTGTATGGGAGACAGAAGAGTCAAGGATGGCCCCTTGGTGTTTAGCCTATCAAGCCCGGTGAATGAAGTAGCTACCCACTGGCCGGAGGGAGCCACACTGAACTGCTTGAATTCACCCAGCATGGTGTGCTCTGGCAGACCTCCGCTCCCTGCCTAGACCTTCCTTCACAACAGCCTCCCACTGCTCTGCCTCAGCAGTTCCTGACAGTATCTTCATGTGTTCTGTGAAACTTTCCCAGTGCTCCTAGCAATTACTTCCTTCTGACCTTTGCTGTGCATTTCCTTTTATTGTATATACATATACTTTACATATTTCTCCATTTTAACACTTAACACAATTTATTATTTGTTTAAAGTTCTGCTTCCTCATTAGACTTAAATTCATGAACAAGAATAGTATTTTATGATTTTTGTATCCTCAAAACATAGTTTTCATGGATTCTTGTTTGACTGGAACATAGCCACACTCACTCATTTATGTTCTGTCTAGTTGAGCTATTAAGAAAAAGTTGGCTGGGCATGGTGGTTCACTCCTGTAATCCCAGAGTCTGAGTTGGGAGGATTGCTTGAGGCCAGGAGTTCAAGACCAGTTTAGACAACATAGTGAGACCCTTGCGTTTACAAAAAATAAAAATAAACGCATTAGCCATGTGTGCTGGCACAACCAGTGGTCCCAGCTACTCAGGAGGCTAACGTGGGAGGATCACTTGAGCCCAGGAGTTCAAGGCTACAGTTAGCTATAATCACACCACTGCACTCCAGCCTGGGTGACAGAATGAGACCATGTCTCAAAAAGAAAAAAAAAAGAAAAGAAAAATGAAAGAAAGAAAGAGAAAGCCTCATCAAACATAAATACATGTTTTAAATACTGTATTTTTATAAAAACTTGCTAATTTGTAACAAGCAAAATGACCTCTTGACATTAGGGAATACTTCCAAAGGTTTTATTACACCAGCACGTAATGTGACATGAGATTCACTGATTATTCATCTCCAGCCCACCACACTCTGTAAGCTCTTTCAGACAAGCACATTTCACACCCACTAGTGTGCCCACATCAACAGGCTGAACAGCAGGCTCACAGTTAGCATTTGGTGAACACTTGTACACACACATACTGAGTGGAGGGGTTTTATGAAAGAAATTTGTGAGATGGACAGCAAAGGACGGACACAGGAAAAAGGGAGAATGCGACACAAGTGGTAAGCCATGGGGCAGGAGGAACAGAAGAGAAAGCAATTTTGAAACTCCATGTAACTAGAAATGTTCCAAGCGCCAATGTGAGGGAAAGTTCTGCCAGTCTGTCAATGCTTTATGACCAACAACATTATTCTATTTAGGTTATAAACAGATCCAGGCTTTATAAACATGAAACTCCTTGTCCTCTAGCTTTTATGTACTCTGGACTAAAATTAGGGAACAGAGCAGGGGATCCTAATTTCACAGGAGATTTAAACAATTACAAAAATGTCAATGAACAGAAAAAACATCAGTAAGTCTCTCCCCTGCCCTTCAGTTAGTGGCCTGTGGAAATCCAGAGGTCATCCTAGACTTCTCTTTTACCCCTACACATAAAATAACTTTCTCCATCCTATGCGATTCTATCTATCCCAATAACCTTGATTACTGCTATAGCCTCTCCCTTCCTCTGGCTTATTACTCACAAATCTACCCTCCACATGTCGACAGAACACTCCAGCCAAGAGTCAAATCTGATCATCTAATGCCCAGCTGTGAGTTGTAGTGGTTTCAAACATCTACAGCAACCTGGAACCCTAAAGGTGAATGATCTCAAGGAGATCTCTGAGACACACACCCTTACCTCCATTCAACTCCATTATTAGACTTCACATTAACCATGGGCTTCGTGGCTTAAGAAACAGCTCGAAAAGCAGTAACAGGATCAAGTCCAAACTCCTTCTAACCACAAACAGCACCTTCGCTATTGGCCCCTGGTTGCTTCTTCAGCCTCAGCTCTTCCACTGCCTGCCTCCAAAGCACGTATGACTCCCACCCAGTGTGCTGTCTTTGCTTTCCTGCCTTTGCTTATGCTGTCTGTTCTACTCAGAAAGCTGTTCCTCCTTGTCACATGGTTAAATACCACTCATCCTTGAAAGCTCAGCTCAAGGACCATTCCAATCCTTTCAGGAAAACTTTCTGAGTGGATTAGCTGTCCTTTTTCTGTATACCCATCCGACCCTGCACAACTTTAACATACTGCATTTAAATGATCTGCTAAAACATTCGATTCCCCTTCTAGAGTCTGAGTTCCTTTAGGGATGGTGTTCTATATTTTGTAGCCTCAAAACCTGGAAAAATGCCACAAACTTGGCAGGTAGTCAATAAATGTTTAATGAGTAAGTAAATTTAAAAAAACAAAAGGATCGTTTTTATACACTGTATATTCCTCCTGCAACAAAAAATATCCTGTTAAATATAAAACTACAGATTCCTCAATTTGTTCTTCAAAAGACATGCAAATATGAAGTGAATTTCCCTAATATCTCAGTTATATGTATACCAAAATAAACAGATATGAAATTAATGATAAAATATGGTCAAGAATAATGTTTACTTTACAGATACAAATATTGAAACACCAGTACACTAAATCTTAATACATACAACAAAGAAAGAGGAAGAACTACAATTTGTGTTCACCTTACTAAGGCTAGTACTCAACTGTGCTAATACTTTTTTTTTTTTGAGTTGGAGTCTCACTCTGTCACCCGGACTGGAGTGCAGTGGCCGCTCCCGGCCACCGCAGCCTCGCCTGCTGGGCTCCGGCGATTCTTCCGCCTCAGCCTTCCAAGTAGCCGGAATTACAGGCGTGCGCTACCATGCCCGGCTGATTTTTTGATTTATTGTAGAGATGAGGTCTCGCTGCCCAGGCGGGTCTCGAACCCGCGGGCTCAGGCAATCCACTCACCTCAGCCTCCCCAAGGCGCGGGATTACAGGCTGAGCCACCGAGCCCGGCTCTGTGCTAATACTTTAAATACATTTCAGCAACAAGCCTGTGGGATATGTATTCCCATTTCACATTTACTTTACTGAATCCCAGAGAAGTTAAGTAATTTGCTTAAGATCACTAAACTAGCTGAGAACCAAAACACAAACACAGGCCTCACAACTCAAACATCTACACTTTCTACTCATTGTATGCACCATTCTAAAAGGACCATCTGCACCCACACCGATCACCAGGGCAAGCAGGACTAGGCTGTCCGGTCTTACTGGTTATATCCCCTTCCTCCCTCCACAGCACATGAATATTCCTCCCATGTTTTCCACTCATTCAAAACTTACTTCTTTCCAGCCAGAGAAGGTCAAAAGTTCTATGAGCTCTGCTTTGCTGCTACAGCCACAAACTGTTTCCACCACACTATGTTAACTCCCTAAGACAACTAAAGAGGAAGTTTTTCTTCCACATTTATTAGTATTTTTCCAATATTACTCTCAGAGAAGCATGACCATGAAAGAATCTGATGCAAAAGCATATGATTATCCATGATTCACAGAAAAGTGGTGTGAATCAATTACTTACTGAAGATAGGACTGCCAGTTTACTTTGTTAGCACGAACTTCTGCAGCCTTGGCAGCAATAATGTTGGTTGGGACAGCGGCATCCACGGCACCTCGGATATCCATTTTGGTCATCTAAACTTTATATTCTTGAATGTTTTTCAACAGATCTTCAATTTAGATGCAAGATAAAAACAGAATAGAATACCAGGTGCTTTTTTTTTGACAATTAATGTTATTAATATCATCATCACTTTAAATCCTAAGGCAAATATTAAAAATCCTAAGTCCGAAAGTCTTATCATTAAATTTCAAATCGTGTTCACTGCTCCATAGTTCACTGCTCCGTAAAAGAGCTTTCTAGGCTTTTTTCTTTTCCAAGAAAGTTGTAATTACTGGCATTAATATTGCAGTGAGATTTTTGAAGTGACCACTTAAGATGTTGAAATCGGAAATCATGATTAAGTAGAACAGGCATACAAAATGAGAAAATACTTTAAATACATACAATTGTGATCAACTTTCCTCTTCAGATAAAAAAAATAAGAAACTGTACAGTACAGACAACTTACTTTATAAACATTTACTAAGCATCATTTTGAAGTGACATTAAAAATTGTAAGTCCTTTCTAAAAGTCCTTGTTCAAATTAAAGTATACAAAACGGGAACGCAATTTCTCAGAAGACAGTGCTTTTCTTTTCAACCAAAATTCATAATACTTCCAAAATCAATTTGGGAGAAATTTTCGAAACAAATACCTATTATAATTTAGGTAAGCCCAACAAAGGGAGTCTGGACTCACAACAAGAATCTACAGTAATGAGCTTCTACGAAATTCTCACTCCTAAACTTACAGATAAAAACTTAAAACTGATTTTATCACAACCCAAAATATAGGTTCCCATCTGCAAAATATAAATTCATAGCCCCGGACGGCCACAAAGAAGCTACAGCTATACCCAAAACTCTATTCCGGGTTCCCAGTGACCTTAGTCAGTTTCGAACGTCATCTCTGTGTCTGTGGATTTGTTGCCTAAACAGCCAAGAGCAGCGCGAACTGGCGAGGCCCAAGTAAAAGCAGGCTCCATCCGGAACGCTATCTCCGAGCAGGCTCTGCCCCAGCGGCCTTCCCTGGGGTAACTCAGGTATCTCAAGAAGGTTGCCTAAATCCCTGAACCACCCGCAACCCCTGCAAGCAGGGCCATCGCCCAATCCTGGGCAAGGTCTCCTTTTAGGCCAGCCCCCTCCTCTCGACTCCACTCGCTGCGGGGAAGCCTCCGCGATTTCGCAGACCGGGTCAAGGCCTGGGAGGAAAGAAATCCGGCAAGCCGGGGCCGAAGGAGGCCAGGAGGGGCCCAAGCGAGTAGCCCAGCACGCACCAAGCAAGATGGAGAAAACGGCGAGGGTCGCCTCACACGGCCCAGCGCCCGAGACGAAGCGACCCGGAGTCGGCCTTCCCTCGCGGACCCTACAGCGCACCCAAAGGAGGCGGGGGGTGCGGCGGTCCGGGGCGCCGAGTCAGAGCCGAGGGGGCGTCTCCTGCCGGGGCCCGGGGCCTGAGCAGCGGCGGGAGACTCGAGGAGGAGCGGAAAGCGCAGCCGGCCTCTCACCGAAGAGCCGTTGAGGGCAGCGCCGGCAGAACGAAGCCGGAGCCGCCGCCGAAGAATGACAGAGCGCCGCTCACGTGATCGGGGGCACGTGACTGCGGAAGGCGGAAGGCGGAGGGAAGGCGGAAGGCGGAAGGAAGCCGGGAGGGCCCAAAACAGCCGGAGGCGGAGCGTTGCGCGGAGACGGGGCCGCGAAGAACGCGGAGCTCACGCCACCGGCCAGCCGGTCTCGGAGGAAGGCGGCAGCGCCCGGGGGCAGCCAGCGAGGCCAAGACTTTGAAAAGTTTGATTTCGGGCTTTAAGTTAAGTGGAGTTTCATTTGGATTGAACAGCTCGATAAAGCGGGCATTCTTCCGATTTTTTAAAATTTATTTATTATAAAGATGTGGGGTACAGTTCGGGGTTAGGTCTGCAAACCTTGATCGTGCAGGTACCCTTGTTGACGAGGTGTGCCCCTCCCTCCCCTGGCAGTTTCCCTCAACTGCCAATCCCCCCTCCCCGACCGTTTCCCGTTACTGCCAATCGCTTTCTTCTGGCATTCTAATTGTTCAAGGTCCCCTTACCGGTGAGAACGTATGGAACTCAGTTCTTTGTTTCTGTGATAAATCACTGAGTATGATCGACTCCAAATCCATCCAAGTTGCTGCAAAGTCCATATGTTTGTCCTTCTTTTTGTTTTTAATTTATGTATTATGAAGATGTCGGGGGTGATTCAGGGTTAGGTATACAAACATTGATCATGCAGGTACCCTTGTGGATGTGGTGTGCCCCTCCTTCCCCTGGCAGTTTCCCTCAATTGCTAACCCCACAGTTTCCCACTACTGCCAGTCGCTTCCTTATAGCACTATAATTGTTCAAGTTCAGCTTACGAATGAGAACATATGGAATTCTGTACTTTGTTTCTGTGATGGATCACTGAGTATGATCTCCAAATCCATCCAAGTTGCTGCAAAGTCCATACGTTTGTCCTTTTTTAAAAAAAAATTATTTATAATAAAGATGTGGGGTACCATTCAGGGTGAGGTATACAAACATTGATCATGCAGGTACCCTTGTTGATGAGGTGTGCCCCTCCCTCCCCTAGCAGTTTCCACCAACTGCCAGTTCCACCCCCCCCTTCCCCTGACAGTTTTCTGCTACTGCCAGTCACGTTCTTATAGCATTATAATTGTTCAAGGTCACCTTACGAGTGAGAACATGGAACTCAGTTTGTTTCTCTGATAAATCACTGAGTATGATCGACTCCAAATCCATCCAATTTGCTGCAAAGTCCTTTTTTTTTTTAATATGAAACTGGGGCTGAGAAGCGGGTCAGAAGAATGATCTTGATCTGAGCTTGCCGATTTAGCAAATAACGGTACATCCCATTGCAATATTTAGACTAACACTACTCGTCATTTATCTAAAATTCAAACTTCACTGGGCGTCCTGTATTTTATCCGGCAACCCTATCCTGAGCCCAAGTTTTCCCTGGTCCAGGCTTCCGCTCCCATCCTTGCCTTAAGATAATAATGAGTAATCCTGCACTGCTCTGGTGGTCAGGTCTACAGAGAAGCAAATTTTCCTTAAAACGCACTAAAAGGGATGTTTATAAATCTAACCATTTCTACTAAAAATGATGCGTTGAGGTCAAGTTTTAAAACAATGAAAATCAATATTATACATTGATTATATATTGAGTAAAGACACGCAATAACAGTGTATAAGATTGTACTGGTTTTCTATTGCTGCTGTAGCAAATTACCACAAATTTGTTGGCATAAACCAACACAGATGTATTCTCTTAGAGTTTTGTAGGTCAGAAGTTTGACATGGACCACTGGGCTGACCAGTTTTTGGCAGGACTGAATTCCTTCTGGGGGTTCTTAAGGAGAACCCATTCCCTTGCCCTCCATGGCCTCTTCCATTGAGGCAAGGTAGCTAGTACAGGTGAGGCACAGATAGATAAATTTCTTGTAGGCGGGTTTTAGAAAGATCCAGACACCCCATTGGCAGCTGAAGGGCCCTGCGGGCTGGAAGGAATAAATTCATCATAGAATTCACATTCCACTCACTTCTTCTGCTTGCCAAAGGAAAACTCCGTCAAGATGGTTCCCAAACTGGCCATCAGAAGCTATAGAAAAAAATGTCAGCCTCCCTTGAGTCCCCACTTTGCCTGGTTTGAGATCAGGTTAACTTTACCTGGACGGTGACCACTCGTATACTTAATCCTGAATTGTATCCCATATCTTTAAAATAAAATAAAAATGTTGAAATTTTTAAAAAAGAAAAAAAACCTTAGACATGATCATGAGACCCCTTTTAGCCCATGAACTTGTGAACTGAAAAAGTATGGCAAAGCCGGGCTCCGTGGCTCAGCCTGTAATCTCGCGCCTTTGGGAGGCTGAGGTGAGTGGATTGCCTGAGCCCGCGGGTTCGAGACCCACCTGGGCAGCGAGACCTCATCTCTACAATAAATCAAAAAATCAACTGGGCGTGGTAGCGCACGTCTGTAACTCCGGCTACTCGGAAGGCTGAGGCGGAAGGATCACTGGAGCCCAGCAGGTAGAGGCTGCGGTGACCGGGAGCGCCCACTGCACTCCAGTCTGGGCGACAGAGTGAGACTCCAACTCAAAAAAAAAAAGTATGGCAAGTCTCCCTGGCAAAGACCGCCCATTTCTCCCATCGGAGGCGAAGAGATGTCAATCTGTGCGGAGCCACATTACTAGCATATCAATCTTTGTGAATGTATACTCAGACCGACAGTAAAAAGCAAAAAGCACCGTTTCTCTCACCCATGCCAGCTTTGGCATGTCTATCTTTTGTTTTTTCTTCTTACTGATAAACTTTGTTTTAAAACGTTGCTGGCCACTCTAAAATTCATTTTAGGGTTGAGCCCAAGAATCCAGTTTTGTGCAGCGCTCCACCCAGCATCACCCACCTTCAAAGATAACATCATCACAGCTCTCTGCCCACAGCTGGGAAGGGCTGTCCTATTTTATGGGATGGTGTGATTAAATTGGGCCCAGCTGGGTAATCTGATCACATCTCTGCATGCTTAACTTTCATCACATCTGCAACCTTAGTTCCCTTCTGCTATGTCAGTTAATATATTCACAAGTTATGGCAATTAGGACATAGATATCTTTGGGGGACCATTATACTATCACAAATAAGGAGGGAAGGATATATACTAATGCAGGTAATAAATAAAGATACAAAAAGGCCCTACATGCCTCTGTTATTTTTCTAAAGTAAAATCTCCAAAATAACTCTAGCTAATAGAGAAAATGTTTTAACCTTTTTAAAACTGAGTAGTGGATCCATAGATAATCCTTGTATTCTGTCTCTTTGAAGATTTTATTTTTAAAAATTAATGCTATAGGTTGAGTCCACATAAGTGTGAAACTGTAGCCTAAATTAAAGAAGAATTTTCTCACCAAGAAAATACTGGAATTAGAATTTGTTAAAGTTGCAGATACTAGCCTCAATTTCTTAAAAATGGCACGGTTAAATAACTTATTGGTAACAAATCTGTAGGTTACAGAACTATTCCCTTTAACTATAATATTTTGAACTTGATAG